TGTGTGCACACGTATACCAATCAGCCAAACCATTAAAACCACTGGCTGGTGAAGTGAACAACATTGATCATCTCGTCACAGTGCAATGTTCTGCTGGGGAACCTTTGCTTTTCATGTGGAGGCCACTTGAAGTGCTCCACCCATCCAAACACCATTGCAAACCAAGTACACCGCCTCATTGCAATGGTATTCTTCAATGGTAGTGGCTCCCAGCAGACAATGCGCTATGCTGTCCCGCAAGAACTGTTCAGGAATGGTTCAAGGAACATGATAAAAAGCTCAAGGCGTAGTCCTGGCCTCCAAAGTCCCCAGATCCTTATCTTGTTGTGCATTCTTAGGAAGTGTTGGTACACCAGAGGTGCCTGCGATCCATGGTGGGGCCTTCTTTCAGACTTTGCTCTAACCTGTCAACGTCTAGACACAGGACCTCTGGGGGTGTCCTGTGGTGTCTGGCACCAGGGCTTTGGGGGCAGAGTCCTGTGGGTTGTGAGGTGGGGTACCATCAGGTCCCACAGATGCTCGATCAGATAAGGATCTGGGGAATTTGGAGGTCAGGTCAAGGCCTTGAGCTCTTTGTCATGTTCCTCAGCGTCACATATCCTGAGCAGTTTTTGCAGTGTAACAGAGCATTATCCTGCTGGGTGGGCACTGCCATCATGGAGTGCCGTGGCCTTAAAGAGGGGTGCTTGGTCTGCAACAACGTTCTGGTGGTTGGCGTGTGTCAGGTAGCGTCCAAATGAATTCCAAAAGCAATGGTTTCCCAGCAGGAAATTGCATTGTAACGAGATGATCAATGTTATTCACTTCACCCGCCGGGTTTTAATATTTTGGCTGATCGGTGTATATACAGCATAAACAATGACAGACATATAGCTGATCTCTTTCTGTTTGAGTAAGATCCATTACACATGAGGAGTATACTGCAATCTCCACAAACCTGTGGCAGGGTATGTTTTTTCTATGTTTCTGCACTGTGCTTTATGCCTTACAAAACAATAGTAAGCACAGCCACACAAACATGCCACACCATATGAAAGCAGCACAAAATCATACACATCATGTCCCATGTCTAGAAACTATTACAGAAAAGATGAAAATGTTTAAATCCTACTGTGTACTAAGTCTGAATGAAATAGTGGGATAAAAATACCTCTAAATTAAATGAACTATGGTCCTCCAGATAGATTTACTTCTTTTAGCGACTTGTTGATAGTGTTTCCAACCTGCACATTGTCTTGTTAAATGATTAATATGTGACACAATATCCCTTAATGTCCACACCAAGAAAAAAAAGCAATGATTTTTTTTTTTTTTTTTACATTTGTTATTTCCTTAACAAAAATCAATATCTTGTTTTTTAACCGACTCCACAGTTTCAATTGATAAGTCAGTGGTATTTGTTAAACAGAAAGTAGAAAAGTAAAATTCAAACCATATACTGTAAAAATGCAGGTAATATGTTAGTATGCCAACATATATCAATATGTTACCATGGAATTACTGGTATTATTTCCACATATTTATTCGAGACATTTACCATGAAAGTGCTTTGAAAATGACATTACTTGAGTGGAACTCAAGTAATATCACTCTGAAGTGCAATAGAGCACTTTTCATACAAGTCAGTATGTCTTGACCTTCAGAATTTCAAACAGTGACAGTACTGTATTCATGGACTTCAAAAGCAACTGTGTCTGTGTAACTGAATGTAAACCATTTGGAGCTGAACACCTGAACATGAACCTTTGTCCTTTTACAGACAGTTACACAACAGATTTGAGCTTTTCCAACACAGACCCATTAAATTCAGCCAGAATTCATATAATAGAGCCAAGAATACAGGCCAATTAACTGTAAATGCAAGGTAATTGATTTGCAGTGCCAAATGTACTGTAAAACAAGCCAGCTTTGTGTTGATGGGCTAATGAGGAGCATTGTGTGAGTAGCTGGTTATGTGTGTGTGTGTGTGTGTGTGTGTGTGTGTGTGTGTGTGTGTGTGTAGAGGCCAGTGCAGTAAATTGATCAGTAGTTAGAGACATGAAACATGAAACATGTACTTCTTTATTAGGTATATGGTTGGTATGTGGGTTGAAAGAGAAGGAAAAAAGCCTCAAATGATGTCCTGAGTAAGTGTGTCTGTACAAGTATGTTTCTGTGTATGTCAAATGATATTTTCAAGATGAGGTGAGATGAGGAGCTCAGAAGTTCAGAGGCAGATTGGAGTACAGCGGCTGCTCCATTGTATAGAAAGGACAGGAAAAAAAGCTTTAAATTATGTCCTGAGTGAGTGTGATTCTACAAGTGCTTGTTTGTGTACATCCAATGATATTTTGAAGATGTGACTGACATGATGGACAGGTCAGGGATGGAGAGCTGTGTCTGTATACTTGACACTAAGTTATTGTTAGTAGGTGTTTTCCTCTGCCCGGGTTGTCCGGGCGAGGTAAGTATCTGGTTTGAGGACCTCAGAATTACATTTCTGCTCTTTGCAGATGATGTGGTTCTGTTAGCTTTTGAGACTGTGACCTCCAGCATGCACTGGGATGGTCTGCAACCAAGTGTGAAGCAGCCCAGATGAGAGTCAGTACCTCCGAATGTGTGATTGTCTGCCAGAGAACGATGGATTTCTTCCTCTGGGTTAGGAGTGAATTATTGCTCCAAGCAAAGGAGGTTGAGCATCTTGGGGTCGTGTTGACAAGAGGGTAGAATGGAGCATGTGATCGACAGGTGAACTGCTGCAGCATCAGCCTGTGGGTGTTGTATCGGACCATTGTGGTGAAGAGGGAGCTGAGTCAGTAGGCAAAGCTCTTTTCTCTTACCAATCCATCATTGTTCCAACCCTCAAATATGGTCATGAGCTTTAAGTAGTGACTGAAAGAATGAGATCGCGGATACAAGCAGCCAAAATCAGTTTCCTCTGCAGGGTGGCTGAGCTCAGCGTTACAGATAAGGTGAGGAGCTCTGACATCCTGAGGGAGCTCGGAGGTGGAGGTGGAACCTCTTGGGCGTCCTTGGGTGAGGTTTTCAGGGCATGTTCTGGGGGTAGACCTCTGGCCTGGGAACGCCAAGGGGTCCCCAAGGAGGAGCTGGAAAACCTTGCTGGAGAAAGGGATGTGTGGAATACTTGCTTAGCCTACTGTCCCTGCAACCTGGCTCTGGATAAGCAGACGAAGATGGATGGATGGATGATGTATCCATTACCACATTATTAGCTATTCTAGCTCCACTGATTCAGTCCAGATGATGGCAGCAACATGAGAAGTAAGATGGCATGATAGGTATGGTATATGCACCACTGCATCTTTGCATTGCTGTTACTATCACATAAGGTGTAGGCCTTTAATTAATACACAGAAAAGCAGAATATGACAAGGAGATGACAAATATAAAGACAGTACTTCATTATGAAATCAGAGAAGAATGTACATTCTGCATATATGTTCATTTTAAGTGTTTTAATTCAAATAAGTCGAAGGTTTCTTTGTTTGTTTGCTTGTTTTTCAGGAGGATTCATCTGCTCAGTGAGAACAGAGGAGTAGCTAAGCTGAGCTGTTGGATGGAGTGTATTTGCTTTTCTGATTCAATTGTTGAGTAAATGTTACAGTCTTCTGCAGTTGGAGTCAAGCTTAGTGCATCAAGCTAGACAACAGCATTGCTAGTGTGTAAGCAGAAGCCCTCAGTGCCTGCAGTCCCACCCAGGTAAATAATCACCAGCTGCCACTGACCACATTTCAGTATGCGAAGTAGGTAGGCAGAGCTGGTGGACATGTCAACAAACACAGTGTGTCTCAAGTCAGGGTAAAGGCAAGGGGAGGTTCACATGGCAGACAGAGACAGCCATCTGTGGGATGCTTTTTGGTAACCTTGCTAACTAGGGGCTAACATTACTTATACTGTAAGAATGCAATCACAGCCTGTCGAAAAGTCTGCTAGCAATAGTTTGTTTACCTGCATGTCATAGTGGTTTCTGTAGCAACTCTGGCTCACCTCGTTTTTCCTTTACCAGGTCATTGGAAATGTTTTGACTGGTAGTCAAGGTAGCAGTTCGAGGTGGTGTTAGGTGAACTTTCAACATGTTGGATGGAGGTTTTTCTCGAGAATGTGGCCGAACTGCTGCGACTGAATCTTTCAGTCGCAATGCAAGCCAGAACGCCTCTGAAAGCAGACTAGCCGATCTGATCATATCCCAATTTCTATTCTATTTTGTGTGCATCCGCACCCATATTTACATGTTTTGCTCATCCAAACAAGACATCCCGATACAGACTGCATGTTTGCTTGAGAGCATAGAGGACATAACAGAACTTAATGTAGAAACAGTGTCTGCATGTGCAGACCAATAAATAAAATCCTGTCGTCCTCCAAATATAAATTTATCTAGATTGGGGATGTCAAACGTACAGCCATGATTTACTCAATCAACAAATAACCAAACTGTGTCAAAACAATACAGTGAAATCATGCTTAATTCAGAACACAACAGAAGACTCATTATAGAAACAGCTTAAGAATTAGCTCTTTTTCAGTGTGTTGAAACCACTTAGTCACGTGCCTTCAGTGTCAGCAGTGGCATGTTATTTCATGAAGATGAATCACCGAAAATTGAACTGAATCAGCCCCCCCAAAGGGTCCAATCCAGCCCACTGCCTGACTTTGTACAGCTAATATTGATGCACTTGTAAAGGCTACGAGGTGCCAGGTTTCAGTCGCAAGTTAAAAAGTGAGTAGACTCACCAGACACCCTGCTATACATTTTTGTGAGGTGGGCCTTGATACAGCTAGTCTCCAAATGCCCTTCAAGGCATAAAGAGCACATTGCACAGGTTTTGTTGAAACTGTCACAAAGATTTTGTAAGACCGCAGTAAGCTTCAACTTGAAACCAAAGTCTATTCCTTGCAAGGTGTTTTCAACGTTTAGTTCTTTTATCTAATGCTTATATAAATTAAGGTCACTTTTTTTATGTGTTGCCTTGTCTTCTCCCTGTGTTGTATGTGTCTAGACAAGAGCGTGGTAACTCAGCCCATGCTGTCCTCAGCCTCCTCTCTGAGGGACCACGCAGCTTTTTTCCAGTCAGAAACGATGCGGCCTGCAAATGACCCCAAAGAGCGCGACCCCTCCCACGTGCGGATGCTGAATGATGTGCTCCGTGACCTGGAGAAGAGCTTCATCATCCCACAGACACTGCCTGGAGTGTACAGGTAGGAGACAAGTTACTGTCTTAGAGTTGCAACCCAGAAACGCACACACACTCAGTTTGGAAAGTCTTACATGTGTAAAATGATGTTAGAAACTAAAGACCGAAATCTTGAATATATTTGAATTTGATGTTTGATATCTTAAAGTCCCCTCCAGTAATGTTTTTCTTTGTGTTCTGTTTTTTTATTTATTTATTTTTTATTTTTATTCAACAGGTCCTTTCTTTGTCTTACAGTGACGAAATTAGTCTAAGTATAAATAAATAAATAAGTCTATCTCATTAGTTAGTATTAAAAAGTTCCAATCTAAGCTGACTCAACTTGCATGCAACCTGAACAACATCCATCTCAGCAAGTTTTTCCCACTTCGGCACACTAATCAGTGGGCTCCATCTCTCCACCGTTAGCTCAGTTGGTCCTCCTGCCTCCCTATTAACTCGGCTCTGTTATTTGTACAGTCTCACATATCTGCTCAGCTCTCCTGAAATTGTTGAGCCTTTGTATTTGTTTGCATTGTAAACAAAAACTGTAATGTTCAGTGTGCCCAATGCATTTCATTCATCACAAAACATTTGCAAAGATGACTTTTTGAAGATTTTGAAACCTGCATTGTTGACACCAATTTTTGCTCGCTGTCAGTCTTCTTCCCTGCCTACTAGTTTCTTGGTGTGTTACCGCCACCAACTGTTGATCAGTGTAATGACATGAATCTATTGGCAGGAATGTGTTTTGTATGGCTGTGTGTGTGTGTGCTTGTGCATAAGATACAAACACAATCTACTTCTAAAAACTTTGCTCTGTCTCATCATTAGTGCCCAAAGAGTACATAGGGAGCCTTTAAAATTGCAAGTGTACAAAAAATATAGTTTATCAGCGTATTGCATAGACTACACTGAAAACTTGCACAAACATAACACTTAAATACCAAAGATATTAGTCAAAGACTGCACTTCTGTTACTGCATTGCTGTTTTCTCACCTCAGATGTTTTCAGAAACATATTTTAGTGTACTGTTTAGCTGTAAAATGACAAAGTTTGTGATCCAACCGCCATGTTGGAAAAAGTCGAGCCGAAAAATTCAGCACCGCCCACTGGCCGGAGCAAACTTTGTCATTTAAACAGTACAGTAAAATATGTTTCTGAAAATAATTTAGGTGAAAAAGGCAACACAGTAACAGAATCTTGATTTGTATGTGACCGGAGCTGCCTATTTTGACAAACTGACTGCAGTTCAGGAGCAGTGATTGACATGATTGGCAGTTGCAATAAAAACTTCTCGCCTCTGATTGGTTGTTTTCATGAGCTGCAGTAGATAGTAAGAAATGCCATTTGAAACACGAGGAGTGGTAGGAGGACCTGATTTCTTTTACAGAGTATCTGTCTCATTAACCTCTGTGTGGACATAGTGATAGTTTCAGCAAATTTTGCAAAAAGTAATTTTTATAAAAGTTATTAACCACAGCTTTGATGTCAAACATCCTCTTTTTATTTCTGTCATGGCACAGCTCTGCAGTGACATGGATTTTAAAGCTCATGATCAAATCTCATGAACTCACACTGACCCCTGAACAGGTCACATTCATCAGATTGAAACAAGCAATTTAGGAAAAAAGTAATGCAATTGAGAGCAGGTCATATGTCTGACTCACCATTTAATAGACAAGTGAACCTTAAACAGATATTTTGTTGAAAAGTTCTTCAGAGAAGTAGTCTGCTCAGGGTCTTGGTTAAACACTTAACGGCATATTGTGTTTTAATGGAGGTCAAGCAGTAATGTGATTAGAAGTGATTGCTGGAAAATGATGATGAAAAATGGCAAAAGCAGTTCAAGTCAAGAAAAAAAATGTTTTTTAGGTGATTCGTCTTCATGAATAACATGCCACTGCTGACACTGAAGGCACATGACTAAATGGTTTCAACACACTAATTCAAGCTAATTCTCACACTGTTTCTATAATGAGTCTTCTGTTGTGTTCTGAATTAAGCATGATTTCACTGTATTGTTTTGACACAGTTTGGTTATTTGTTGACTGAGTAAATCATGGAGAGTTAAGAGGTCGCATTGTGTGTTGAAAGCACCTGTATATATCTCCTGGAGTTATAGTACATTCATGATTTGATTCCAAAAGGTCTTTTTAAATTTGATCTACTGCCATCAAATAGGTAACTAAAAAGGCCTTTGTTGGCTATTTAGTGTGCAAAACCCTCTATGATGTGAAGATGTGAAGATGAGAAACAAGGCAGTATTGAGCCCAGTGATTGTAGCGGTGGCCCACTGATGTTGAACAAATGTAGTGGAAACCTGGCTCATTCAGAACAGGCTGGCAGGCAGACAACAAGGTGGTAGGTTACACCTGTTTGAACACAATGGCCTGTAGCCTGGATAGCTATGACTCATCCAAACAGGTCCCGCTCTGCATGTGAAACATTTGGAACGCACTACTGGTCATTTTAGGATAGCCATTCCCGAGGCCAAACCCAGGAATTCAAATTTGCGGCTCACATTAAAATTTACAGTAAGGGACTGAACAGCAGTTATTGGGGTGGGAGGGGAGCTCAATCACATATTTCATTTTATTAAAAAGTACCACCATCCCGGGTGTCATTAATTCTGTATTTTCTGTGGACAAGGAATGTAAACGAATACAAATATATTGTTCAGAAATGAACAGTGAATGCACTCTGTGAACGTCCCAACTTTTGAAGTAATATTTTTTCTCCCCTCATTCAACCCAATTTGCTATAAACATCACACATCCCCTTCTTGTTGATTCATAATTTAAGCGGAAACACACAGACATCACACACATGCTGCTGCAACCAGCAATACTCATTTTCACAGGTAGCAGGAATTCCAATGCCTGTCAAGAATAAACATTGGTTTGGAAATCATATTAGGAGGCCTTGCTTATATATATTGGAATGATCAACAGGCGGTAGTTGTCTATATTTCGTGAACAGGAAGTACTAGTAACCAAAGCAGCAGGACTTTTCATGAGGTGGACATAGTTTTAGGTTTGATATTCAACAAGTTTCATCTTTTTATTAGCTTTTTGTTCATCTTCACCATATTCGTGATGCAGCTTTAGCTCAGGAGGTAGAGCGGGTTGTCCACTAATCGAAAAATTGGCAGTGTGAGCCCCTGCCTCTCCAGCCTGCATGTCACAATGTCCTTGGGCAAGACACTGAACCCCAACTTGTTCCTGATGGCTGTGCCATCAGTGTATAAAATGGTGTGAAATGTGTATGAATGGTTAAGTGAGTAGCAGGTGGCACCTTCTATGGTAGCCTCAGCCACCAGTGTATGAATGTGTCCAATGGGTGGATATGGTTTGTAGTGTTAATGCACATTGAGTGGTCAGAAGACTAGAAAGGCGCTTTACAAATACAAATCTGTTGCAGTTTGACTGATGTTGCACAGGTGTAGGGTTTTTTTTGCATAATGATCTGACTTTGAAGAATGGCACTAGATACCTTGACAGTAAATGGAAAACTGACAAGTAATGCCCATAGACTGTAATCTTACTATCTTACTATATAATGACGAAAACTCTGTCTGTGTGTGTGTCTGTTCCACGTTTTTCTCCTCACTGACTTGGTCAATCCATGTGAAATTTGGCACAGTGGTAGAGGGTCATGGGAGGAATTCAAATGAAGCAATATTACATCAATTGGCCAAAGGGGGCGCTATAGCAACTGATTGAAATGTCAAACTTTGAATGGGCATATCTCATGCCCCGTATGTCGTAGAGACATGAAACTTTGCACAGAGATGCCTCTCCTCATGAGGAACACATTTGCCTCAAGAACCCATAACTTCCGCTTATATAGATTTTCCGCCATTTTGAATTTTTTGAAAAACACTTCAAATGGATCTCTTCCTAGGAAGTTTGAGCGATCTGCATGAAACTGGGTGAACATAATCTAGGGACCAATATCTAAAGTTCCCTCTTGGCAAAAGTTGGAAAACTTACTAAAACTGAGCTTCTATAAGGCAATGAATATTGCGGAGGGCGTGGCTCATCACATAAAGGTGTATAACATCTCAAGGGTTTCACCCATCACCACGCAACTTTGTAGGCATATGACCACACATAATCTGAGGGGACCCCTCCATTATTGACCCCATCAAACAAAATGGGGGCGCTAGAGAGCTAATTTCTTATCTAGGCCTAACCACCATATGGATTTTTACTTAACTTGGTAGATATGTAGAACAGGATGCCTCAAGGTGACTGGAGAAATTTAACTCTAACTGGCAACTGGGTGGCGCTATAACAACAGAAAAATGCTTAAAAATGGCTAAAATGCAACCAGTCGCTGTGGCTCCCCCTGTGGCCGAATGTTTGTTTGTTTTTTTCTCCAATATTTAGTATGACTAAGTCATGGTATGGTATGCTGTACATAATCACGGAAACTGTCAGTGTGTCATTCTGTCAGTCCCACGTTTTTCTACTCACTGACGTGGTCAATCTATGTGAAACTGCACATAGGCATTGAGGACTGGCATAGGTAGAAGGTGACATGAGCTACCATTGGGTATGGACTAGTAATACAGATAGATAACATGACAGCTCTTCAAAACATTTAGATCGCCCCCTGGTGGCTGTCTGCAGTATAGCTTTTAAAGCCCGCCCCCTCCATGTTGGCAGATGAGACAAAACTCAAAGTACACCTCAAGTAATTTTTTTCTGATTATAATTTCCATCATTTTAGGTAGTTTCTTATCATGCTGCTGTATGTTCAAGTGTTCGTTTTTCTGATAACTAACACCACTGAGATCGCTACTGCACAGACTCTGGCTCCAAATGACATAACAAGCACAAGATGGCAGCGACTGTATTTGGGATATTTTGGCCACATTTTAGTACAGTGGAAAGAATTGGAGACGTGTCGTCCATCTTTATATACAGTCTATGGTAATGCCTAGTTCATATTACATGACTTTGGTAGACAGTTTTTGGAGCTCCCCAACAAAAGCCCCAGACTAAAGGCAAATGAGC